TGTGTTGAAGAGCTAGAATAGGTGACGAAAGAGGGTTTTTCACTCCTGCAAATTGATTTCTGGTAAATGTCGTAGCTGGACTGTAGAGATCTTTTTGAGCTCTTCACATCTGCTCTCAGTATTAACTTTGTGAAGATTTGAGGTAAAGGATGCTGTGTTGTGTGTACTATGTCATCTTGTGTTGCATCGTGTTTGCCAAGTGGCTCCTGAGCAGCCAAGTGGATTGCTGGGGAGCTCATCCACTTGGAACTATTAAAGTGGGAGACAGAAAGGAGGACACATTACTGCAGTTTTATATTTAAGGCTTGTAAGTTTGCGGGCTTCCTTCCCTTGCAGCTAATCTGTGCTAGGTAGTTTACCAGCTGTCTGATTTCTCTTGCTAATACACTACAGTGCAGGCGACAGCCACAGCTGAAACTGAAATGGACAGAAAGCCATCAGAGACAGCTTTGTTTTGTTTCCTTCCCTTTAAAAAGCAGTGAACAAGCATTATCCAATTTGATGTTTGCAGATCTTCATGAATGTGGCCACTCTGGAGTCAGAGGTGGTGCCTGGAGTGACCACTCACCAGGAACTCTTCCCTCACAGCATTTTGAGCGTGGTGGCCAATCTCATTCCCTTCTCTGACCACAACCAAAGTCCACGGAACATGTACCAGTGCCAGATGGGTAAGTGCTGAAGTACCCAGTGCTGCAAGACCCTGGGCAGAGGGATTGACACCTCAATAACACCTCTAGTATATTGAATTTCTGACAGTATTATCAGAAAGATGTCCTTAAAGCACTGCCTCTTTATCATACTTTTCTGCAATTAGCAATATGACTGTTCAAAACTCAATTCCCATGGCAGGATATTGATGCTGCAGAAGCAAATGCTTTTTGGCCTGGAAATACATAACATAGGCCTCACTCTGGGAAACTCTGGGGAGAAAACACATATACATCTCCCCCCAAAACAAGTAAACACACCAAAAAAAAAAAATCAAGTAAGCAAAACCAGAAACACCACACTAATCTTAATGGGGATTTTGAAATTGCAGAAGAGAAAATAAAATTAGATGTAGTCCTTATGAAATGCTGTGAAAGGCATTGTGTATAGTGGTTCATAGAAAAATTAGAGCTGGGCTTAGGGCAATTAATAAATTCCAAGGGAGTTAAGATTGATAATCCCTCTAAATTTGTATGTATTTCCAGCTTTTTTTCTTAACAAGATACACAGAGGAATAAATCCAAGTTTGCCTCCTTCCCTCCAGGAAAGCAGACCATGGGGTTTCCTGTTTACAACTACAAGGATCGCTCAGATAACAAGCTGTACCACCTGCACACCCCTCAGAGCCCTCTGGTGAGGCCCAGCATGTATGACTATTATGGGATGGACAGCTATCCTGTTGGCACCAATTCCATCGTGGCTGTCATCTCCTACAGTGGCTATGACATGGAAGATGCAATGGTAAGCCACCAGAAGGAAAAAAATCCTGCTGTCCTGTGAAGGAATTTGATGTGGGGCACTGGGAGTAGAAGTGACACTCAGCTGAGAAGACCCCGCTTTCTTTCTCTGCTGGTCCTCACACCTTTTGAGCAGATTCAGCAGCACAGTGGTTGTGTTGTTACAGCTGGGAGTTCTGGGAGTAGAGCAGAGCTTCGTTTGTCCAAGGCCATGGTCTTCCAGCTTTTTAAAATACTGGGGTTACATGAGGCTTGAGCTTTTTGGAATGGTGACTTACTGGGAGACTTTAAAAAGGCAATGTTCCCATTTTGATCTGATGCTTACCTTTGTAAATGTTTTCTTCTTGGAAGTTATCAGCAAGTCTTTAACGGGCTTTTGTTTCTCCCTTTTAGATCGTAAATAAATCTTCCTGGCAGAGAGGATTTGCTTATGGAAGTGTTATCAAGGCGGAGAGCATTGACCTTTCCCTTAAAGCCAGCAGGGCAGGAGATAATTTAGTATTTGGCATCAAGCCTGGCGATCCAAACATTGGGGAGAAGCTGGATGCTGATGGACTGCCTTTTGTTGGGTCTATCCTGCAGCCTGGAGATCCCTTCTACAGCTTCATGAACCTCAACACAGGGGAGACCTTCACTGTCTACTATCCGTAAGTACAGCCTGTCACTCCTGGCTCTGCTCACCCCGTGGGGAGAGCAGTTCGCCCTTGCCCTGCAGATGTTCCCTTTTCTCCTCACATAATAGTGTCCATGGCATGACAGAGAGCATGAAGTTCATGCTGTAGGTGACTCCCAGGCATGTATCACATTTTTTCTCTAAGCCAGTGTGTGCTGCAGAGCTGGCTTATCCCAGGAGAATATTTTTTTTGTGATTTGCCTGTGCTGGTTGTATGTGGACATGATAACAGTTAAGCCTGCAGCAGACCCCTGGCACATGGAATATCAGGCTGAGGGCTCATCTATAGAAGAAGCACAACCCTGAGCAAGGCACTTGTCAAAGCTCACACTTTGCCCTTTCTGCTCTGAACTTCCCTCTCTACTGAAGAACTGCATTGAGTTCTTTATTTTGGGATCCCATCAGTATGGTGTGAGTTTATTGGTGGTAGGGAGAGGAGCTGCTGCCTTAACACAATAGAAATGGCAGTGGGATGCAGTTTATCAGATACAAAGTGTGATAACAGATGAACTAGGTTGAAATTATCCTTATGGGTGGCACATAATCCAATCACCTGAAAGTGATACCTGAATGGCACTTGGAAGATGCCTTTGAATTGTTTCCTTGCCCTAATTCTTACACAGTCTGAGTTCCCTCGCTACTGAGTAGTACTTTGAAGAATGGTGGTGTTTCTCAGCTGTCCAAAGACATTTTATAAGTGGTTTAGGTTTTTTTGCTTCATTTTCCCTTTGAAACTAAAAATTATTATCAAGCCTGACACCTTTGCTATGATTGTTCCTCCACCTACACAGGAGTAAGGAAGTGGGCATTGTGGACAACGTTAGATTGTGCAGCAACGACCGTGGCACTGGGAAGTTCAAGAAGGTTTGCATCACTGTGAGGGTTCCCCGAAATCCCACTATTGGAGACAAATTTGCCAGCCGTCATGGACAGAAAGGTATCCTGAGCCAGCTCTGGCCCGTCGAGGACATGCCCTTCACAGAGAATGGGATGGTTCCAGACATCCTCTTCAACCCTCACGGTTTTCCCTCCCGTATGACCATTGGGATGTTAATTGAGAGCATGGCGGGGAAGTCAGCAGCCCTACATGGGGTCTCCTATGATGCCACTCCCTTCACCTTCACGGAGAAGAAGTCTGCTCTGAAATACTTCGGTGAGACTTTAGCGAGCGCAGGTTACAACTTCTTTGGCACAGAAAAGATGTACAGCGGCATCAGCGGGGTGGAGCTGGAGGCAGACATCTTTGTGGGGGTGGTGTACTACCAGCGCCTGCGCCACATGGTCTCCGACAAGTTCCAGGTGAGGACCACGGGGCCCCGAGATGCTGTCACCAACCAGCCTGTCAAGGGCAGGAACGTGGAAGGTGGGATCCGCTTCGGCGAGATGGAGCGGGATGCTCTGCTGGCCCATGGCACGTCCTTCTTGCTGCAGGACCGCCTGTTCAACTGCTCCGACGGCTCCGTAGCCTACGTGTGCACAAGCTGCGGTAGCATGACATCCCCTGTGCTGGAGAAACTGTCCCGCTCCTCTGTGACCAGCAGCAGGAGGTATTCCTGCTCCACCTGCAGTGAGGTGGAGGCCATCGAGGTTGTCCCTGTGCCCCACGTCTTCCGCTACTTTGTGGCTGAGTTGGCAGCCATGAACATAAAAACAAAGCTCAATGTGGAGTAGCTTGGTCCTTGGCATGATGAATAGTTGGAGGGAGAAGGCACATATCAGGTTGTCCTTTTCCCTGAGTTTCAGGTATTAAGTTAGTTCTCAGGTTTTTCAAAAGAATTAAAGATTATTTTGATGTTTGTATTGCAACAGGGTGCTTGCCAAGTTGTAGGGCAAGGAAAGATGGTTCTGTTGGTTTGTTTGGACTTCCCAAAGGATCACCAGCTATTGAGATGTGTATGAAAATCAGGCAATATTGCTGCTCCGCCCAAGCTCCTGGGTTGAGACTGACTGGGTTCTTTGAATTCAGGCTGAACTTGTAGGTATGAAGAGGTCATAAAACAGCATGAAGTGAATGCTGGAAATCATCACAGAAAAAATTCCTTGTTTTTTTCAAGAAAAATCTTTGGAAAACGTATGCCTTAATGATGGGTTTGTGTTGAAGTTATTGTACATGTTTTGTTTTTCTTTATTTCAATACATGTGCCTTGAGTCATAAAGAAGGTGGCACGAAGTTCAGCTGCATGAAGACACAGCCTTGACTGCAAGTAATCAAGGTTGTCCTGCCGGGTGCGTCCTGGAAGTGTTTGGTGTCACCCAAGCCCAGCGGTGCTGGGGTTTGGAGTTTGTTTTGGTGCATTTGGTTCTGCCAGGTGCGTCCTGGAAGTGCTTGGTGTCACCAAGCCCAGCGGTGCTGGGGTTTGGAGTTTGTTTTGGTGTGTTTGGTTGAGGAAGAATAAAGCAGATGCATTTCCAGCCTGGCTCATACTTGTGCAGCATAGATATTGTAGGACTGAAGCTCGTCCTCCCCTTAAGTCCACAGCAGTTGCCACCCTGCCCTGTCCCAGGTGTCGTCCGTTCCTCTCTGCCTGCCTCGGCCACCGCAGGGTCGAGCGTGTGCCCCGGGCACAGCCGTACCCTGCGGTACAGAGCTCTTGTGCAGTTTCTCGGCAGCGCCGTGCTGGGCCGGGGGCTCGGCGGGCGGGAGGCGGTGGGGGTGTCCCCGGGGGCGAGGTGCGGATGTGCCGCATGCCCGGCGGTTCCCGCACGGGCCGCAGCACCCCCGGGGCCGGGACTCGCTCCGTGGCGCGACCGGGAAGGAGCAGCGGCCCCGGCGGGGCGGAGCGGGGCTGTGCCGCCGGCAGCGGGGCGCCGCGCCGGTGGGCGGTGCAGCTGGAGCTGCGGTGGGGGCTGAGCCCTTGGCGGCCCCATGCGCTGCAGCTGCCATGGAGCTGCTCCGGGTGCTGCTGGCTGCCGCTCTGCTCCCGCTCCTGCCCCGTGAGTACCCCCGGGACAAGCCCAGGAGGCAGAAAGGCCGGGTGCCACCCAGCCTGGATGCAAAGGCTGAGCTCTGCCGAGCTGGCAGCCGTGCTGGGTGGGATGTGTGAGGGAAGCAGTGCCCCAAACCATGTCTCTCTCAGTTGGCAGGGCAGCTGTGCCACTGCCTACGCTGACCCGGCCATTGAGCATGGTGCTGGCTGGACAGCGCCGGCAGCTGGTGGTGTGCGTGGTGAGAGACCTGGCCCCCAGCTCTGGCCATGCTGTTTGGATCTCTGGTGGGAATGGTAGCATCCTGCAGTCCTTTGCCTATGGAGCCTCCCAGGAGGATGGCGGCACCGTCTGCTCCGTCTCCCTCCTTTCCAGTGACCCCCAGCGCGAGAGGGAACTTGCCTGCCATGTGGGGGCCAACAGGACCTCCCCGTCCCACAGCTCCAGCCCCATCCGCATCACGGGTATGATGACCCTGCTGCCACCCCCTCTGCCTGCCTTGGCCTCTGCTGCCCAGCCTGGTGGGTGCACTGGTGGCCCCCGAGGACAGAGGTCGGCAGGGTCCCTGGGGACAGCAGGGAGCAGGTGTGAAGCCCTAGGGGCAAACGTTGCTCTCCCGATCACAGGAAGGGGTTTGTGGCTAGCCCTGCCATGCACCTGGTGCTGGGCTGCCAGTGCCTCCCCAGCTGCTCTTTCATCCCACAGGCAACGAGGAGGCAGCAGAGCTGTGTAGCACAGCTGGTGAGTCTCTGGCCCCTGCCTGGTGGGAATGTCAGCTGCCAGGGAGAAAGCCCTGGCAGTGGCTTGGCTGGGGCTATGTGGTGGTTGGGATGGGTTTTCCCAGTGTTGTGGGACTGAGGAAGAGGGAGGGAATCTTCACCTTGGTGGGAAGAATAGGGAAACTGGGTCAGAGCCAGCCTGCCCTCAGGAACAGAATGAGGGTGACATGAAGTGTCTCTGGAATGTGTAAAGATCCCGGGTCCCATGGCAGGCCTGGAAAGGATGTGGGTGCAGTGGGGTGTCTGTGGCAGGCATCACCTCACCCTTCCGTTGCAGTGTCACCAGCCCCTGCCTTGGCAGTGCTGCTTACGGCTGTCCGTGTGGTGTTGCTGAAAGTCTTGCTCTCTGATGCTGTTCTCACTTCCCTTCTCCTCGCCCAGAGCTGAGGGCATGGGCAACTGCCCACACTTCAAGGGTAAGTCCTGGTTTGGTGTAGGGGTGTGGAACTCACTGGAAATATTCTGGAGACTAGAGAGGGGACCCCCAAAGGGAGGAGAGAGAAGACCCAGTGTTGGCTGGGAGACGTACAGGATGGGAGTCTTGGTTTGGGTGGACAAGAGAGAGGAGCTGACACATTTCTGTGGCTGGCAAGGCCCCGGAATTACCTGGAGGATGGGAAGGGGCCCCAAGGTACCTCGCGGGGGAAAGTTTCCAGAGTTCCATTGGCAGGGAGGGCCCCCGGAGGGTTGCGGGGTACCCGAGGGGCGGCGCGGCCCCGTGCGCGCCCCGTCCCACGCGGGCGCTCGGCGGGACCGCCCGGGGGCGGTGCGACGGGGGCCGCGCGCCGCCGCGATTGGCTGGCGGCGGCCGGCGGGGATTGGTCGCGCGGGTCACGCGCGCCTCCGCCATTGGCCGGCGCGGCGGGGTCGCCGTGGTAACGGGGCGTGGCGGGGCGGGAGCGCGCCCCGGAAGCGGAGTCATGGCGGCGGCGGCGGGGGCCGCGTTGCTGATGCTGCTGATGGCGGCGGCGCTGGCGCGGGGCGACGACTCGGACTGGGTGCGACTGCCCAGCAAGTGCGAGGGTAAGCGGGGCCTCGGGGGACCGGGCTGGTCGGCCGCCGCCCGCTGTCTGCTCGGGCCGGGAGTTACTGGTGCGGGGCTGCGCCTCCGCGGGCTGTCCCTCTGCCCGCCTCCTGCCCGTGGGCATCGCTGTTCCCGGCAGTCATTTGATCGCCTGCCGGTTCGTAGCTGGCACTGGTCGTGTGTGCTGCTTACGGTTTGGTCTCCGTGATGCTTCCTTCGGTTCAGACAGTCCAGGGTAGGGCATGACGGGCATTTGCTGCCTGGTGCGGTTTCCTCTGTCTTTGTTGTGCAGGCACACGTGGAGCTGGACAGCAAAGAGACAGTGAAAAAATTAGGGAGTTCTTTACAAAGTTTTCCTTGCCGGGGAAGCACCTCTGGAGATGCTGATGTCCGAGTTCTGCTGTGGCACCAGCGTAACCTCAGAGAAGCATCAGAGCAAGCACTGACCACACTCTGCTCCTCTTCCTGCCCAGGCTTTGAACCTGTGTCAGTGCACAGCAAAAGCTGCAGGAAGCATTTGGATAACTGGACTCAGCACTGGGCACTCCTGGCATGTGTGTGGACACTGCAGCAGGTGTGGTGTGAAGGGGGACATCCTTGAGATCTGAGCTCCAAGGGTCTGCAGGAAGGAAAGATCATCCCACTTGAGAAATGGCCACAGTTGCCTCCAGCCCCTTGTGCCAAAAAGAAAGGATTGTACAGGAGGTGTACACAGGGCTTCTCAGTGCATGCATGGCAGCTCTGGACAAGCCACCTTGCTCTCTTCCTGCTTGGGGCATCTCTCAACTCACATAACTGCCTGGGAGAAGACACTGGTTCATTGCTGTCAGACCATTCCTGCTGGAGCTTGGCACTTCTCCTAAAGTGGAGCTCAAAGAGGTAGCTCCTGACAAACAGGACCCCACAGCACTGGACAAAGCTTTCTCCAGCCTCCTGAGGCTCTATCTTTGGGGGAGGAATGGCCACACCATGCCTGGCTTCCATCCCTCCCCGTTCCCACTTGTAAACCCCTGAGATATTTCTCCTGCTGTCTGTTTCTATAGCTCTGTTGGCCTCTTCACAGAAGAAATAAAGCCTTTTTTTTAGTTTTAGAACAATAACCATGCACTGTGTTCTAAATCTGTTGATTATGTGGTCTCTGCTGCAGGCAGAGCCCCAGGTGGTGTTGCTGGAAGTCATGGCCAGCACCTTGTCCTGTCACCACCAAGCCCTGCCAGCTGCTCAGTCCCCAGAACAGCCTCAGTGTCCCCACAGCACTGAGAGCACAGAACCAGGTGGGCTGTCCCCCATCCCCTCGTGTTGTCATCATGAGAAGCTCTGAGCCACACTGGACTTGCATTGCTAAAAGACCCCTTGCTCTTCCAAAAGGAGTAGAGCAGAGTGGCAGGGAGGTAGAGGCTTTTGGGGGGAAAGCTGCAGGCCAAACTGAACCCATGTGACTTCCAGCTGTGCCACAGCATCTGGTTGACATTGAAACATTGGTTGTGTGCTCCTGCTTCAAGCATTCTCCTGTGGAAGCAGCTGAGCCATTCCTGGTTATTTCTTTGGACAGCCAAAATGTGTTTTGTGCTTACAGCAGCTTTGGTGTGCCCAGTTCCTGGGCTGGTTCTTGCTGCTGTCCCAGGTTTTCTGTCATGCTGCCTGTCTGAACAGTGACACCCCCTGAACCCCTTGTGCTCTGTCCTTCCCACAGTGTGCAAGTACGTAGCTGTGGAGCTGAAATCTGCCTTTGAGGAGACTGGCAAGACCAAGGAGGTGATCGACACCAAGTATGGCTTCCTGGACGGGAAGGGCTCTGCTGTCAAGTACACACAGTCGTAAGTGGGAATGGGACGGGAGTTTGGGAGGGGGGGGCTTTGGGAGGCTTACCCTGTGCCCTGGCTGTTGCTGGGGGCCCACACCAAGCCTGAGCCCTTCCTTCTCTCCATGCAGGGACATTCGGTTAATTGAGGTGACAGAGAACATCTGCAAGCGGCTGTTGGATTACAACCTGCACAAGGAGAGGAGTGGCAGTAACAGATTTGCAAAGGTGAGGGCCGTTCCTTCAGTTCCTGCTCCCAAATGTGCCTCACCCATCCCTTCACTGCCAAAGTGACAAACCAGGTTCATTCTTCCCATCCTCTGGATCCCCTGATAGTGCCTGGCATTCAAGGCCACACTACCCCCCAAGTCAGATGTGGGGTGCTGTCTTTGTTGGGCAGGTTCCTGCCTGCATGGAGGGAACGTGGGGCTTTCTTCCTCTTGGGTTTGGGACCAGGTTTGCAGAGAGGAACTAGCTGCCACTTGAACTCCCCCTGGTAACACTGATGCCCCGGGGATCTGTTTTGCATATGTTCCTGCATGGCTGGGCAGGGCTGTGTGGCTGATATTGGGAGGGGAGAGTGGGAGCCCTGCAGGAGGAGCACCATCTCACCATGCAGTGCTGCTCCCTCCCTCACAGGGCATGTCAGAGACGTTCGAGACCCTGCACAATCTGGTGCACAAGGGTGTCAAGGTGGTGATGGACATCCCCTACGAGCTGTGGAATGAGACCTCCGCTGAGGTGGCTGACCTCAAAAAGCAGGTACCCCGCCCTCTGGGATTGGCCCTCAGTGGCTGCTATGACCTTGTAGGCTGGTCATAGCCTACAAGGAGTGGAAGGAGTGGAAGTGGGGAGAGCATCCTGGGCCATGCTGCTGGGAGCAGGATGTTGGCAGGACCTGTGGCAGGAACCTGGCCCTGGTCCTGCCACACCAGTACCTGTCTGGAGCTGGGCTCTCCTCTCTGCCCTAGTGCGATGTGCTGGTAGAGGAGTATGAAGATGTGATTGAAGATTGGTACAGGCACCACCAGACGGAGGATCTCTCCCAGTTTCTCTGTGCCAACCACGTGCTAAAAGGAAAGGACACAAGTAAGTCCTGGCTGCTGCCAGGGGCTGAAATAACACAGGAATGATCAGGAGGGCAGGGGCGCCTTGCTACAGCATGGGGAGTCCTGCCTCTCCACCAGAGCCCACTCTGTCCCTCTCTTCTCCTCTTTTCCCTAGGCTGCCTGGCAGAAAAGTGGACTGGCAAGAAGGGTGATTTGGCAAGCGTGGGGGAGAAGCAGAGCAAAAAAAAGAGTGGGAAAAAGAAGAAAAAGGGCCAGAAGGAGCGCGAGGGAGCTGCCAGCCTTCCGGACACAGGGGAGGCCCTGGAGGGGGTCCAGGAGCAGGCTCCACTCACCCACAGCCCAGCTGATGAGCTGTAGGCACGTAGCCCCTGCCCCCGGGGCCGCCCACTCCGGGGTTTCACCCCGCTGTGCCTATGGGTACCAAAGGAAAAGGGACTTGTGACCCGGGGCGGACCGGAGCGCCGGGCCCCGCCTTGCCATCCTGGGTGCTATCCCGCGATTAGGCGGCCCGGAGCCGCGGACCCAGCCCTGCCGCACCCCTGCCGGAGGCTCCAGCTCCGGGAGGCCACGAGTGCTGCCCACCGCCGGCTCCTCGCACGCCGCCGGGACTGTAAATAAAGACGTTTTCCCCAGAGTCGCCGCCGGCACTGCCGGCCCTGCTTCTGCTGCTGCTGGGTGCGGGCTCAGGCTGCCGCGGCGCGGGCGGCCGGTGAGGGGCGGGTGGGTCCCGCGGGCCGCGCCGGGCCCCGACCCCGCTGAGCCAAAGGTCGGGGCCGTGAGGGGCGCGGCGCGAGCGCCGCCGGGCGGCGCGGATTGGCGGGGCCGGAGCCCGGGGGGCGTGGCCCGGGCGGGGCGCGGCGCGAGCGGCGATTGGCGGCGCGGCGGGGGCGGACGCGGCGCGGATTGGCGGGCGCGCGGGGGCGGGGCGCGGCGGGGGCGCGGCGCAGCGAGGCTGAGGGGGCGCGGCGCTGTCGGTGTCCGGGTCCGTGGCGGCGGCGGCGGCGGCGGGATGGTGGACAGCGTGTACCGGACGCGGTCGCTGGGAGTGGCGGCGGAGGGGCTGCCGGACCAGTACGCGGACGGGCAGGCGGCCCGCGTGTGGCAGCTGTACATCGGGGACACGCGGAGCCGCACGGCCGAGTACCGTAGCTGGCTCCTGGCGCTGCTCCGCCAGCACCGCTGCCGCTCCGTCCTGGACGTGGCCTGCGGCACCGGGTGAGGCCCTGCGCCCCGCTCCCGCCCGCCTCCCAGGTGTCCCTTCCCCCTGCCCGGGGCCTCGCTGCCCCGGCCATCCCCAGTGCCCCCCTCCCTCCAAGCCCCCTCCCCGCCCCTGCAGCTGCCCCCGGCCCCGCTGACAGCCGTGTCCCCAGGGTGGACTCCATCATGCTGCTCGAGGAGGGCTTCCAGGTGACCAGCGTCGATGCCAGCGACAAGATGCTCAAGTACGCGCTGAAGGAGCGCTGGGAGCGGCGCAAGGAGGAGCCCTTCGACCGATGGGGTGCGGGGGCTCTGGGGGTCGGGAGGGGCCTGCGGACACTGACACCGTCCCCAGCGCAATGTCAATGGCCCCTCGCAGTGCTCGGGCCACTCATCTGGGACTGCCGCTGGCCGGGTGGCCTTGCTGCGGGGAGCTGACAGTGCCAGATGCTCGGCAGACAAGCCATGGTCCTTGCTTGTCTGGCTGCTGGCCAGAGGCCACAGCCAGCACCCTCAAGGGTTTGGGAAGGGCTGGGTAATGCTGGGAAGGGGTCTTGCAGACAGGGGAGGCTGTTGGGTGTCCCTACCTTCATCCATTTCCTTGTGCTGCAGTCATCGAGGAGGCCAACTGGCTCACACTGGAGAAGGACCTGGAGAAGCCAGGGGATGGGTTTGATGC